AGGATGCAAACATGATGGTTCACATTATATCCTCCTTTTAATTTACCAGGGTGGTGCCTAAAAAAACAAGCATCAACACATCCTGGAAGATGACAATGGAGTACTATAAACTCAACCAGGTAGCCCCAGTCAAAACTGCTATGCCATTGTGGTATCCTTCCCAGAGACAACTAATATGGACTCAAATATAAGAAATAAAGCCACTGAAGTGACAGATGTGTTTTTTCCCATCCCTATCAAGAAAGACTGGAATCATTCACATATGCTTGGGATGGACAAGAATACATATTGACTAGTCTTCCCCAGGGTTATGTTAACTCTACTGTCCTCTATCATAATATAGCCCCGAAAGACCAAGACCGTAAGGACACTCCAGAGAACATCACATTGGTTCACTGTATCATTGAGAAAGAAGTTCGGCAATTATATTGGAGACCTTGTTTAAACACATCTTCTCCTGAGGGTAGAAGATAATCCTACAAAGATTCAGGAGCCCAAAACATCAGAGAAATATTTAGGAACCCAATGGTCATTGGCATGGCCAATCATCCCTCCAAAGCAAAAGAAAAATTATTATATCTTGTCCCTACCACCAATGAGAAAAAAGCACAAATGCCTGATAGACAGCCTCTGGATTCTGAAGGCAACATATTCCACACTGCGGAATACTGCTTTGATTCACTTACCAAGAATTACAGGGTTGCTGGCTTCAAATGGAACCCAGAGCAAGAAGCAGCTCTAGATTAAGTTCAGGCTATAGTGTGAGCAGCCCTGAACTTGGCCTATACAATGCAACAGAAGGTGTGCTATTAGAAGCATCAATGGTGGGAAGAGATGCCATGTGAAATTTATGGCAAGCCTCAATAGGGGAATCAGGATGTACATTCCTAGGTTTGTGGATCAAGACCATGCAGCCTGCGGTGGAGAATTATACACTACTTGAAAAACTGCCCCTGGTATGCTCCTGGCCTTGGTAGGGACAAAGATCTGATCAAGTGACCAAACAGCCAGAAATGCCCAACATAGGCTAGGGCCTGTTAGGCTCAACAAATCAAAAGGTTCGACACGTCAAACAACAATCCATTGTAAGATAGAAGTGATGCATCCATGTTTGAGCATAAGTAGGGCCAAGGGATATAAGAAAAATGCATGTGCAGGTGGTGCAGACTTAAACACCAACTACTATTATTGTATCAGCGTCTCTTCCTCAGCTCACATCTATGGCCATATAAGGGGCCATTATGACTGGAAAAAGGAGACAAAGTCATGCCTGGTTCATAGATAGGTCAGCTCAATATATATATATATATATATATATATATATATATATGTATATATATATATATATTCTGAATATATATATTCAATATATATATATATTCTGCAATAATAATGCTGCCTGGTGCTATCTGTCTATGCAATGCTGGTTAACACTTTACATTACTTGATCCAAAGCTGCTTTGCACATTTTTGAAAAGTTGTGCACAAGCATGAAAAGAGACAGAAATGTAAAGACAATGAGAAAGATGTCTCAGGTTTAAAACACCTTCTTTGGGGTCATTTAGCCTAGGGATAATAAAGCAAAGAGATAACTATCTTTTAAAAGTTGGTTGGTCCTCATCAAAATGATATATCCACATATAAGCATACAGGGAAAAAATGCTGCTAATAAAACTTCTCTAATTATTAGAAGGAATTTTCAAACATTAGTTAACTACCAATGATGGCTATGGATCACAGTGCTAGATAGCTTAATGAGTAGCTTATTCCAAAAGTAGACTGATACTGTTTCCACAAATAACCAAAAGTGCTTCTCTCTTGATGAAAAGCCAAGATATGACAAAATTTAATCTCTGTCCCAGTCTCTCAACAGCTATAACTTCATATCAGTGAATAGTACTACCAGGGGTAACATCCAATAGGAAAAGTTTGTTTTACTTAAATTTCTTCCTCCAAAGCTGAAGTAAATTATGACTGCAGAAACCACACCCTGTGATGCAGATTATTAGGCAGATGAGAACAACCATCTCTCAGGGTCTACTAGGAGTTCAAGACAGGGAGGATACAGATGTGAGTGACATTAAGTTTCTTTCCATATTTGATAAATGTTTTAAGTTCTGCTAAATAGCATTATGTAAGATTTTAATTCAACTCATGTACAGCTTTTTATTTATGTGAGATTTTTATGTTTACTTTTTACATCTTTAAGTGGTAAAACTGAAGGCATTACTTTAGCAAAGAATAACAGAATTATATAAGAGAATCTAAACTAATCCACTAAAGATAACCAAGCTATCTGTTTGTCACCTTTTAGTAGTATTATATACTCAGGCAACTATGGAAAACAACCAAATTAAAAATTATTAATGATACTTAAAGTATTACAGCTTCTGGGAAATAAACCTTCTATATGTCCTATGATAAAATTAAGATCCACAGTTTCTCTTTCTAGACCTTTCTATTTTAACAAACACAATTTTCTTATTATTTATAATCTCAATGCAACTTCTATAAAATGAGGCTCTAACTTGGTTTTCTTTTTTCACTGTATATGCATCTTCCCCAAGCCCATCTGTTGAATAACTGATCTCTTCCCCTTTGGTTTGTGGCACTTTCTATGTTCTTATTATTTATTTGTTCTAATATGAATTTTGGTATAAGGATTATTTTCAGCAGAAGGCACCTGAGAAGAAGCAAATACAAGAAAACTGCCTACCCTCCCCCCATTTGCCTGAAAGTAGGACATAAATTGTAAAGGTGTCCCCCCTGCCCTCTATTAGGAAGGACAGAAGTTAATTGCTCTTTAGCAGGCAAGAGATGGCTCCATAGAAGTCTACATAACAAACTTTACCAGCTAGCCCTTACCTTCCATTAGTTCCCTCATACACTCACCTTCCCATGATTTGCTACCCTAGAAACTCAAAGTCCTTTTTCTTTGTCTTGTCATCTCTCTAAAAATCTATTGTTCTTTTGTAAAGAGACTATATAAGCACAAACTCTAACCACCCCTTTAAGTTTCAGGTAGCTGAAAGCTCCCACATGTACGCACAATGAACATGATAATAAACTAGTTTTTTTCTTGTTAATCTGTCTTTTGTCATTCCCCTGCCCCAATGAGCCTAAAAGGCATGGGGGGGGGGGAAGAGTTAAGTTTTTTTCTCTGTACACCTTCCAGATTAACTTGTAGAAATAAAATATAGGCATCAATTGAGATTATAATTAGAATGGCCTTAACCCCAAGACATTGCTTAGAAAGAATATGCATCTTTACAATATTTAGCCATCCCAATCAGGAACATGAAATGAATATCTACTCACTCAATGACTATCTTCCTTTATGTTACTCAGTAAGTTTTATAGCTTTCTTCATCTAGGCCCCCTTCATTTCTTATTAGTTATTTTTAAATCACATTTTCTGTTTTTAGCTCAGAATGGGAACTGCTTTTCATTCACTTTTCTAACTATTTTTGGTACAGCACAAAATGATTGCATATTAATTTCATATCTAGCTGCCATTTTGAATTCCTTTATTGATTCCTGTTGATTCTTATGAAGAAGTCGATTATTCATCAAATGGTGTCAGAAAATTGTGTGTGTGGTGGGCAAGAGGTGGGTGGTACAGGAGATTCATGTTAGATACTCACATATCTGGTATATTTCGGCATATACCAAAATAAATTACAGAAAGATTAAAAAGTTAAAGGTTAAAAGCAAATAATAAAAACACGAGAAAATATACAGCTAAATATTTAACTGACTTGGGGATGAATAAAGAGTTTCTATGGATTAAAAAAATGGGAAAAAATCACCAAAGATACAAAGACAGCTATATTAAATTCAATATTCCCAAGTGACCACAGAAAATTAGTAGATAAACATCCAATATGGGAAATACACTTGAAACATGACAGTTAAATGGGTAAAAATCCTAACCATATAAAAAGCTCTTATAAACCAGTAAGAGAAAAACTAATTAATACTCATAGGAACATGGGCAGAAGAAATAACAGGAATGAACAGGTAATTCATAGAAGATACCACACACCAATAAAATACAAAACATTCAACTGCACAATCAAATTCAAATTAAAATGACAAAGAGATAGCATTTTTGTGGCCTATTCAACTGCAAAGATTTGGTGCTTTGAGACTGAAAACTTTAACTTCTGACAGGAGTATGGAGCGTTATAACCTTCCTGGAAAGCAAGTTGGTATTCTGAAATAAAAGCTTGTAAGAATCAAAGCATGAATATATATTTGTGAAATACTCAGGGATTAGACAAAAATTCTTATATAAAGATAACCATTAGAATATTATTTGTGCTAGCAACTGGAAGCAACAGCAACACCCCCAAATAAAGGAACAGTTTGTGGTACATCCATATGATAATATGATAGACTATTACTGCAGCCATTTTTAAAACATATTTCAGAAGAACAACTAATGGCTTGGGAAAAAGTTAATGATATGGTATCAATTGAAAAAAATCAGAATACAAATTATGCATAGCATGATACCAATTTTACAAATACGTGAAATATACATGCATAGGAAAAAGAGAAGAAAATACAAAATGTTAACAACGGTTAGATTTGGGGGGAAGATTATGGATAGTTTGTATTTCATTCTTTACACTGAAGAATTTTTCAGATATTCTATAGTAAATACATTGCTATTTGTAAAAGGAAACACACACAGAATATTATTTTACAAAATAGATATTTCTTAATACACCAAGAAGTGATGCAAGAAAATTTTCAGAAACAAAGTGGAAAAGTTTTTTTTTTAAAAAATCAGTAAACTTCTCTTCCACATGAACAACAGAAGATATTTACTTTTAAAAACTTGAAACTTTCTTCACATAACTGGCACCATTAAGAAACTTTTAAAATAAAGGTAGTAATCTCTAACTATTAAGGGTTTATTACAAATACAACCTAAAAAGAAAGCCCCCAGGGAATCAACTATAGGGAAAGTGTGATTAGAAGACAGTACTTACCTTTTTCACTTACACTCTCACTTTCAATCTCAACGTCATCACAACTTGTGTATTCAGGTGTGGAAGCTAATTCCTCCTCTGAACTGCTCAATGAAACCTGGCGCATTTTACCTCCCTTCTTTGATTTATGAGGCTTTGGTGGTGGAGGTCTCACAGACTCTGACTGATCGGAACTGAGAGAATCATTCCTTAACATTGTTTCCATCTTTTCCCGTTTTGTTTTCCTCACAGCAGAGCTAGGATCTAAGTGGTGGTGTTTCCTCAGTGGGTCAGTACGTCTCATGTCTGGTCTATCAATGGGTATTGGACTCCTCCGGGGGGTGGGAGGACTATGGTTTGTGGTCCTTTGTGGGTAAGAACTTGGTCCCTGAGCCTCTCGAGTTCTTTCCATTGAGTAAGATCGCTGATTTTCCATGGCAGCTCTACGTTCAGATATAGATCTCTGCCTTGATGGTCGTTCCATCCTCAGCATAGAAATCCTAGAATCTTCCAGCTCAGCATTTGCCAAAGAAACATCACTATGCCTTCTCTCATGCCTCGCTCTGGACACTTCCGCATGAATACGCATTTGTTCTTCATAGGGCTGTGGCTTTACTGGATAACGGGCCAAATTTGGGTCACTTCGATAGCGTGCCTGGTATTCTTCCTCTCTCCTTTGCCTTTCATACTCATCTCTGCTCTCCGCATCCTCATCATCTACAATGTATTCTTTGGAATGCCTATGACTTCTCCTGTTGGAGTCCCTGTAATTTATATGGTCAGACTCTTCATAAAACTGAGGTTCACGCTGAGACCTCCTATCAGCATAATCTGATGGAGATCTAGGCATGGTGTTATCTGAAGTAGCATACTGTGGATATTCTTCTCGTTCTTCTCTTTGGTCGTATCTTCTATTCTGATCTCTGGATACTGATGGACTTCGTGTCCTAAGTAAGCAAAGGAAAAGAATGATGAGAAGAGCAACGTCTAAACAATTCAACATTTTATTAATTCACTGGTGGGTTGATGAATTAAATTCAAATAGTTCTTTTGCTTTTTTAAAAAAAATTCTTTTTAAAGTCATGCTTAACAAAAGATTTACTAATATTCATTTTATTCAGTTCAAATAGGAAATTTAAAAGGTATTTTTGATATGGTTCTTTAATGCCTGGCATACTACATATGGAATATATCTATGCCCTGAAATAAGATAGCATCATACTCTGCTGCTGCAAGATGGACTTTTCTATAATTTCTTTGCTTGGCTCAATACACTTCGACAATCTCCCAACTGCTATTCAGAAGCTTTGAAAAACTCCACCTGACATTCTCTCTATTCCTGACACCTTGATATAGTCTCTTGAAAACATAATGAAGCCAAACTAATTTGGTTCAAGAGTTGAATACTTTCTGACTAAAATTAAATACTGGCTCTTAAAAATCATTTTTCATAGGGGCCCCTGCATGGCTCAGTTGGTTAAGCATCCGATGCTTGGTTTCAGCTCAGGTCATGACCTTGGGGTTGTGAGATCAAGCCCCATGTCCCGCTCTGTGCTAGGTGCAGAGTCTACTTGTCCCTCTCCGTCTGCTCTTCTCCCCACTCTCTCTCTCTCTCAAATAAATAAGTGAATAAAATCTTTTTTAAAAAATCATTTTTCATTCATCAGCTACCTAGATCACTCCTAGTATTGGTTCATCTAAATCATTTATCTCCAACCCTTCTTTATTGCTCTAACTTGAGATAAGCAATTTAAATAAATAACAACAATAATGACTTATTCATCACACACACACACACACACACACACACACACACAGTCTTTGTAGAACTCAGAAGGGACTGCTATTTTTATTCTATCTTCATTGAGATTAAGGCCAGCTCCATGAAACTTGTCTTTGTCTTCACATCTGACCCCGCATACTTCCTTATAGCCTCAGATGAAGAGACCGTATATTAAGTTCTCAGCCTGCCCCTCTAACACTAGTACAACACAGCGGACCTTGTAATCATAATAATACTCCTTGTCAACAAAATATTCACACTGACCTCTTCCCTGGTACGAACCCAAATAGTGTCAACCACTAGCCGTGAAAAGCAGTGGGACTGGACTCCTGAAGATGACAGAAGTTCAGAATATCTGTTACAGGGATTTTTGCCAGGACATATGAACAGGAGATAATAAAAAGTGAGGTCAGTTGAAGTTCAAGATGACCAACATTAGATAGCTCAGTTGTAAATTTCTTAGATGTTATTTGGCGGGGGCGTGGGGTGGGGGAGCCTAAAAGCAAAAGCAGAGAAAGGCTACATGTGGAATGACCCCACTCAGCAACAGCATCATTCTCCTCTAAAGTCTCCCATGTCACCGAATCTCCCCTGTATCTGAAATACAGCCTGCCAACGTGCCAATCAAGATTTGTTAATAAAAACAGAAGTCACTCTAGGTTTTCCAGGGAGTAAGGGTTTTAATACAGTAATCAAGAGCTATGCAACTGCACCAGCCATGAAGGCCAGAGAAGTTAGTGATCTTGTTCTTGCCTGCAGAGCCAAAGACAAGGGTTCTCAAGATGTTCTTTAGGAAGCTGCTGTGAAGCTCAACAGTCGTCAGGAATTTGCCACCAGTTATCTCAGCTGCCGAGAGCAGTAGGGTGGTCCATTAAGAGGAGCTTGCCAGGAGCCACTGAGACTTTCCCATCCTGTGTGCCTGCCAACAACTGCAGCTGGACAGTACTGGCTTCGGTACGTCCCCCACCTTCCAGTGTCACATAGGTGCACAGCCTGGGGAGACTACCCTGAGCCAGAAAATGAAGGAACTAGTCTGTTTTATGATTAGGCAAGTGGACGTGATTTCTTTTTTACATTTATATCTTATGTCTGCATATAAAACATTTAGGACTTGAAAACAACTCTTTTCAGTTACAACCGTTACATAAAACCATAGACTCCTATATTTTAAAATATACAACCAAAACAGAGCACTCAAAATAAATTTTAGAGTATTGACCTACATAATATCTTATATGTGTATCTGTTAGGCATAATTCATTGTACTTTTTTGTCATTTTTTATACATATGACTAAAGGAAAAAATACTGCAGCACGGTGGCAATGTAAAAAGAACAGAATCAAGGGCTCTGGGTTTCTTAGTCCTACTTTTGTTATTACCCAGTTATTTGAACCCATATGGCCAGTTAATCTTTGAGAGTCTGTATTTTAAAGTGAGAAACATAGATTATACACATTAACTCATATATTATTTTAACACACATGTATTAGGCAAGAACTAAACGCTACATACTACAATATAGATTAGAATAAGGAAATGTGGGGCACCTGGGTGGCTCAGTCGATTAAGTTATGATCTATCATAAGTTCATCAAGTTAGTATGCTTAAATGAAAGCTTTAAGGAGAGCAAAAAATAATACTTCTGGCAAGATATAATTAACTGACTGGTGCAAATTTTCAACATACATCTCATTAACTGGCTACTTATATATACTTACTATATTAAAAAATGAGATAAATGAGAGTTTCTCTAGAGAACTCTAAAAAATAAACAATTACATCAGTTCTTTTTTAAGTTCTTTTTTTAAAGATTTTATTTATTTATTTATTTATTTGAGAGAGAGAGAGAGAGAGATTGCATACGAGCAGGAGGGGAAAGGCAGAAGAAGAGGGGGAAGCAGACTCCCACCTGAGCAGGGAGTCCGACGTGGGGCTCAATCCCAGGACCCTGGAATCAAGACCCGACCTGAGGCAGACACTTAACCAACTGAGCCACCCAGGTGCCCTACATCAGTTCTTCTAACTGACCATTTAACCTCCATTAGATGCAGACTTTGTTAGGAATTCAAATACATTTCGGTATGTTATTTTTTTCCAATCTAAGTTAATGAATATATTTGTCTCCAAAAATATAGGTTACTCATTAACCAAATTTAATATCTAGAAATTGATTCTGTTCCAAGAGTAAGATTCTAGTGTTTCTCAGATTTATTCGGTACATAAGAAAACAATTTTTTAAACTTTATTTTTAAAACTTTTTTTTTTTGCTGTGCCTTTTATTCCTGTAACTTATTCTTCTGTAACTAGAAGTCTGTATCTCCCACTCTCCTTCGCCCATCTTGACCATGCCCTCATTGTTTAAGTTCTAATTTCTCTAAAATCCAGTCTGGATTGAATAGGAAATTTTAAAATTGTATGTACGTATATAAATTTTGAAAGCAGTATTACCTCATTACTATAGACCAGGAAGATCAGGTCATCAGTTAGAGCTCACTTTTGTGCCTTTGTATTTCTCCAACATATACTACCCCATCCTATTTACCATTACCTAATTTGTGCTCTGTACTGTCCACTAGACTTTAAATTTTGAACCATAAAGGACTGTGCCAATTATACCTTTGTAGTTCCACTATTAATTCATTCATTCAACATTTATTCAGGGCTTAATATGTGCCAGCTGATTCTGGTTGCTGGTTGCTGGAAATTCAATCAAGAAAAGACACATAAGGTCCCTGCCCTCAATAAGCTTTCTTTCTAGTAGAGGAGACAAACAATAAGCAAATAAATTAAGCAGTAAATAAAGTAATTCCATACAGTGATAAGTACTATAAAGGAAAACTGAAACACGGTAAATTTACAAAAAGTCTCTGAGGGAAGCTACTTTCAATCAGAAAGGTCTTCCTGAAAAGGTACATTTGAACTAAGACCTGAGTAATGTAATTACACTGAATGTAGCCCATTTATATAAAATATACAACTTCATTGGAAATGTTTTGGGTATTGTCATTAGGTTGCTATTTTTCTTTCTTTCTTTCTTTCTTTCTTTCTTTCTTTCTTTCTTCTTTCTTTCACTTAAAGCTGTTTTATTAAATATAAAATCTACTGAATTCTCAACTGTTGTTTTACTAAATCAAGGATTTTCCAAGGTAGTTCATCTCTAGAACCCACCTAAAAGCAGCTCACCAAGCCTTTTTCATGTACCCCTCCTTTTCAAAAGATTTCATTCTCTCAAACTGAGTAAATTCCAATTCCCCATTATCCTTGATCTCAGATGGGAGTCAAAAGAAAAGCAATCAGATTAAATCAGAATGAATGGATATTGGCTTTATAATATTATCAAAAATACTTATATGCTTTAAGATTTCTAATGCAAATTAATCTCCAAAATGTGGGACTTACGGCCATGCAAGAAAGTAAAAAAATTCAGAAAATGTTAAGGGAGAAATTGGATAGTTTGAAGGCAGTTCAACCTAACGATGGCCTTCCTCCTCACTGTACCTATTCCCTAGGTAATTGTATCCATTTCTATCCAGGAATGTCTACAATACTCTAAGAACTGAAGGTTCATGAGGAGCAGCATTCTGGATCTATGTAAGCTGCACTTAGTAGGTGCTTGAAAAACATTTGTTGAATTAAAGAACTCATTGATTCTCCCTTAGATTATCTCTACTTTTCATGATATGTTCTTTTCTTCTATATTCAAACCCACTGATGTGATAAAATAGTCGTTCTTCTCTTTTCCCTAGTGTTCCTTCAGCAGTAATATCACCCACTGTGGGTAAAAGGAACTGCTTTTAGTAGTGATGTACATTATATGTTAATTTGACTTTTGTTGTTGGGCTTCAAAATCCAACAATTGCTTATAAAATTATTTCTTTAGCAAAATATATTTAGAGTGTCAATCACTTTACAACTAAACATTTAGAACAAAACCTCTGTAAGTTAAGGATTTCTAGTAATATATTTAGTATCACACTTGTTATGGGACAGAGGTAGGGGGTAAGAAAAGAAACACTTCATCTCCTGAGGAATTAATGTAAATTTTTGAAAGTAGGATATAAATAAAGTGACGATAGTGAGCCTTTACAATATAGGAAATATATTTTATTTGATTGATAAAAAAAGAGTATTTGTCATAGAATTCAGTTCCAAAAGAAAGTTTA